AGAGATAGAAAGAAATAGAGAGAGAGGGGAGGGGGAGAGGAGTGAAATAGACCCCAAAATAAAAGAACTAAAGATAACGAAGTTTTACGTCTATTTTAGTTTAAAATCTCTGCCCCACCCCCTCCCATTTCCGATAAGGGTTATCATTTTGTCAGTGATATTTTTTAGGAGCATTTTAGCCATAATTTCGGCTTAGAGGAAGGGGAGGGCCTTAGACATTATAATGCCTCATTTATGTGCCGGGGTGGGGGGGGGGGGGCAAGGTCAATGCCCCCTTGCCGCTTGAATCTGCCTATGTTTTACTGGGTATATGAGATCGCACATGAAACCAAATCCATTATTTCTGATTTATTTGATCAAGGTCACGCAATAGGTGAAACTGTGTTTTTCTTGGTGCACCTGAGACCCAATGAACTTGAACATTCGATTTCAGTATCCAATAAAACAGGAGTAACAATGGGATATACTTTGCATGCAGTAAATATGATAGCCTTAAAGGTTTAGACCAGTTTTGGAAACGCCCCCCCCCCCCCCACCTTCTCAAAAAATGAAATGGAAGCTCTTATTACCAATCATGTGAAAGAATATAATATGACTAATACGTGATGATACAAATTTTGCCGGGAAACCGCCTACTAATTGATAATTGTGTATTTGGTAAATTATCATATCTATCCGGCCTGGATAGATATCGCATAGTCTCATATACATCTTTTTGTGTACAGTGCTTGTAACTTTACCAAGATTGGGCTAAATTTCTTTTCATTTTGATGATTCCAGAACCTTGCAGTACACACCAATACTTATGCTAGATGATCAACCATTTCTGATTGATTCCACATCGTTTATTTCACGGTGCATGCGAACGCATGACCAGAACTTTTTTTTTTTTTTTTTTTTTTTTTTTTTTTTTTTTTATTTTACCAGATTTGTTTTCTTCTTCCCTCTTTTATCCTGATTTTTACCGATTTCCCCATTATTTTCTCTAATCTTCCCTATTTTGCCCTATTTTTGCCCCAATTTTCTTACTCGAAAGGGGGGAATGTTGTTAGATGCCATTTTTTCCCCGCGAATCCTCTTCTCTTTTTTTTTACTCAAGGGGGGCGTGGTTGAGGGGAAAACAAAAAAACTTTTTTTTTTAGTGCTCACTATCACCCCTGATAATATAATTTCGAAATGTGCTACTAAATTGTGAAAATGTACTCTGTCAGCAACATAAAAGTCAAATACGATGCCCCACGAAACACTCGTTTATCAATAATTAAAAAAAAGAAGTAAAAGACCCATTCGTTCATTTTATAGTTTTTTCTTGCCTTTTTAGATGTTGACAGCACTGAATAAGTCCAAATATTTCATCTGATGTTGCGCCAGCTAGCGTCGAAGGTTCTACAACATTTTTTTTTTGCAAGGAAGAAAGTTAGTTAGCGTTGACGAAATTTGAAGAAGAAGAAGAAGAAGAAGAAGAAGAAGAAGAAGAAGAAGAAGAAGAAGAAGAAGAAGAAGAAGAAGAAGAAGAAGAAGAAGAAGAAGAAGAAGAAGAAGAAGAAGAAGAAGAAGAAGAAGAAGAAGAAGAAGAAGAAGAAGAAGAAGAAGAAGAAGAAGAAGAAGAAGAAGAAGAAAGAAGAAGAAGAAGAAGAAGAAAAAAAGAAGAAGAAGAAGAAGAAGAAGAAGAAAGAGGTGGTGGAGGAGAGGAGAATGATTGTTTGAGCATGGTTTAAGCCAGGCTTGACCGATCTTTCCAAAGACGAAGCTTAGAAAAGTAACAATACAATTAAACGTCCACGTCATACAAACCATTAGACTATTTTGTTTCCAATCTTGAAACTTAAAAATTCACTCAGTGCGTATTGTTTGAAGGGTCTTATGAATGATTTCTTTCCATTTTACATTACCCTTCTTCTTCGTCATTACTCTTCTCTAAAAAAAAAAGTCATTGGGAACATGTCGGACAACCACCCTCTGGACTACATCCGGAAGCCCGGACCCCCGTAGAATGACCAGGACGAGTGTCACGTGCGATTAATTGCTTGAGTGAATTAACTCATTAATCTAGTATAGGCTACGTACCAACCCTGAATAATAATACCAAAGTATTCCAGAAATATATTTTAGTATTCAATTTAATGCAACTCAAATAGAACGCATCATATCAGTGTCGTTTACAAAATAATCAGTAATTGCAAATATAATACAGGCGTTTAAACCCGGTGGGGGGGGGGGGGGGACTCAGATTTGGTTTGAACGGGGGTGTGTCGATGAAGCCTCAAAACCCCTATCCATTGGGGGTCATTTGGGGTCATTTTTCACAATTTGCGACCTATTTTTAATGTTTTTTGGGTTAAAAGTGGGACCCATGTTTAGGGATATTTGTAAAAAAGTGACCCATGAGAGCAGCATACCCCCGTATGTCCTAATATGTGAGTAAACCCCCCCCCCCCCTACCTCCGGGCATTCAAAACTAGACTTCAGTAACATCCTGATATGAAGTTTAAATTAATGTTTGTCTTCTCCGAGTTCATGAGAGCATGCATGGATCAAATACTATAGTTCTGTAGATTTAAAATTTATACTTAGACTTATCGATTGATCGCTCTGAGCGAAAGAACGAGAACACCTGTCGTGTGAACATGACGGGGTTCCCATCCAGGCGGCGACCAATGAACTAGAACTCGAACTCACGCGGATCCCTATTCCGTAGTACAGGCCAATGGTTCATGAACCAGCCAATTTCGCATATTGTTTTTGAAATACAAAGGTTTGTGTATTGCGAGCCTGAGCCCGAGGAGGCAAAAACAAGTTAGCTCTAACGTAACGTTAGTTGTGACAATATTACATTGACCTGGATTATTTCTTCAGCTAATTTGGGATTTCTATAATAATAGCGAACATGTCGGAGACGGTAAGCGGGTGTTTTATTTATACTTTTGTATGTTTTGAGTCTTGGGTTCAACTCCTATCTAAAATCCGCCCGGGGATCGGAGTTCCAATATTTGCAGAGACAGATTTCCAAAGTTGATCAGTGCGTTTCCTAGACTGATGTAGCGGTGGCCGCGCCGAAGATGCATGATGAGCGAGTTTAGAGAGTTTGTTTATGATAGAAACTTAGAAAGGGGTGTTATAAACGGTACTCTTATTATGATTTATTTCATTTTAGACTTTATTCAATGAGAGGTGGAAAAGATCCTATATCGGATCTGGGCCCCATCTTATTCTTATAAAGAGTTCCGATTGATTTGGAATTTGGATCAATCTTAAGTTTTCCAATAAATCGTAAGTTTGCAGTCTCCTATATGTGCATTGCATTGCGATTTATATCAACTCTTTATAAGACGGGGGCCTGTAGGCCTACATAGTGTTGATCGTCTGGAAAAAATGTAGGGGGCGGGGCGGAGCAGGGCCGTAGGGGAGGGGGGGGGGGGGTAAATTTTTAACAATTCCAAATCCTCTATTTCCTGTTGTTTTGTCAATATGCCTGCCTCACTCATACTAGTTTTGACATGATAATTAGTATTCGTTTAGCATTTCTTTTTATTATCATCATTGTTATTATTACATGTATTGTTATTATATTTTTTATTTTTTACTATTACTATTATTATCATAATTATCAGTATTACTATTATTATTATTATTATTTTTATCATTTGATTTTTTAAAATGTTGTTGTAACTTGTTACTATTATTATTATTACTGTAATTGATATAATCTTTGTCATCATCATCATCATCATCACCTTCACCTTTATCATTCTCATTTGTCGGTTTTTATCAAAATCTGTATTATCATTAGGCATATATGTTCATTGTTTTTTTCCATAATCCCATACATGTAATTTATCATTACATGATCATACAGACTCGGAGCCAGAAGTGTTAATTTGGTGTTAAAGTACATTTAATATAATATGAGATTATGAGTTAACACCCTTCTGAATTGAGATAGATGAGATGTGTTTTGGAGCCATGATTATAATGCCTTATCAAATTTATTAATCATAATACTATCTAACAGAATTTTTTATTTTTTATTCATTACAAATATATATAGATGTATGAACACAAAAATACTTTCTTAAAATGTGGTTCACTTTTTCGTCCTCCATAGACCACTTTGGTGCATGCGAATATTTGAATTTTGTTTGGGGGTCGGTTTTTGTCCCAAAATAGAACTTAACATCAGTAGGCTATTGTAATGTAATCAAATTTGTACATGTTTTTAAGTGTCTCGTTACAAATCATTGTAAGCCTGTTCGCAGTCAGAATGTACAATGTGTTATATTTTATTTCTCAGGAATTTTAAGGAACCTGCATTGATATAAATTTACTTACTGGTACACTTTTCGAACTTTTTTTTTTTTTTTGGGGGGGGGGGGTGGGGTTGGTTCAGCGCAAAATGACTTTCACTTTAATCGCTTTCCGGTCTTATGATCATATTGTGTAAAGGCTGAGAGTTGTTCTGTCATCTTAACGACAACTTAATGACAGGCAATAATTTATGTACATCATGAGATCCGGTTCATGCCATGAAAATACACCCACAAATTAAAAAAATCTTTAAGAGAATATTTTATAATAAATTTGGACTAATTACTCTTGAAGTTGTCCTATGACCATTTTATCATGGTATAGAAAGAGAAAATGGAAGAAGTCGAGTGACATGATTCACTGACAGACAATGAAATCTAATCAAAGATGTATCTTGCTCCAGATAGCAAACTGCTTCAAATACTTATGATATTTTCAAGTACCGGTACAGCTGTATCACTTTTGGTTTTATTGGGTGAAATATATTTCATTGTTTTTTTGTTAATATTTTTATTAATGGTTTTTCATTTACATTTACATGTAGTTGTTGTTGTTCTTATTATGATTATTATTACTATTGATTTTATTATTATAATGAAAAGAAATTTTTCCAACCTGGCAGATATTACTGTCTACTTGTAAGCAACACTATCATTTATTCATTAATTAATATAATAAAAACTTGATGTTTTCAGGATCCAGTACTCTCTGACCCAGAGAAGCACAAGCTAGGATACGGCAGCGTGACGAATGGACATTCGAGTCACACCAAGGTCCATCCATCCTTTGCCAGGAGTACCTCCATTGATGGATCAGTAGTGTCCTTTCACGCCATCACCTACACGGTCAAGACCAAAGAGAATCGCAAGAAAGTGACAAAGACTATCCTCACAGACGTCAAGTAAGTGATACTCATCTGATTTTTAGTTTCTCAAATGGGATGGGGTTAGGGAAGGGGAGACTTTGAGGGACAGATGACGTTTTCCTCTAACGATCAGGTTAAGAGTGGCCTTTCAAAGCATCACCTAGACAGTCCAGACAAAAGAGAATCGCAAAGAGAGTAAGTGATATCAAGTAGACGGTCACAATCGATGGTTCAGTATTGTCCTTTGAATGATATCAAGTAGACAGTCACAATCGATGGTTCAGTATTGTCCTTTGAATGATATCAAGTAGATAGTCACAATCGATGGTTCAGTATTGTCCTTTGGTGATATCAAGAAGACAGTCACAATCGATGGTTCAGTATTGTCCTTTGAATGATATCAAGTAGACAGTCACAATCGATGGTTCAGTATTGTCCTTTGAATGATATCAAGTAGATGGTCACAATCGATGGTTCAGTATTGTCCTTTGAATGATATCAAGTAGACAGTCACAATTGATGGTTCAGTAGTGTCCTTTGGTGATATCAAGAAGATGGTCACAATTGATGGTTCAGTAGTGTCCTTTGGTGATATCAAGAAGACGGTCACAATTGATGGTTCAGTAGTGTCCTTTGGTGATATCAAGAAGACGGTCACAATTGATGGTTCAGTAATGTCCTTTGGTGATATCAAGAAGATGGTCACAATTGATGGTTCAGTAGTGTCCTTTGGTGATATCAAGAAGACGGTCACAATTGATGGTTCAGTAGTGTCCTTTGGTGATATCAAGAAGACGGTCACAATTGATGGTTCAGTAGTGTCCTTTGGTGATATCAAGAAGACGGTCACAATTGATGGTTCAGTAGTGTCCTTTGGTGATATCAAGAAGACGGTCACAATTGATGGTTCAGTAGTGTCCTTTGGTGATATCAAGAAGATGGTCACAATTGATGGTTCAGTAGTGTCCTTTGGTGATATCAAGAAGACGGTCACAATTGATGGTTCAGTAGTGTCCTTTGGTGATATCAAGAAGACGGTCACAATTGATGGTTCAGTAGTGTCCTTTGGTGATATCAAGAAGACGGTCACAATCGATGGTTCAGTATTGTCCTTTGAATGATATCAAGTAGACAGTCACAATCGATGGTTCAGTAGTGTCCTTTAAATGATATCAAGTAGACGGTCACAATCGATGGTTCAGTATTGTCCTTTGAATGATATCAAGTAGACAGTCACAATCGATGGTTCAGTATTGTCCTTTGAATGATATCAAGTAGACAGTCACAATCGATGGTTCAGTATTGTCCTTTGGTGATATCAAGAAGACAGTCACAATCGATGGTTCAGTATTGTCCTTTGAATGATATCAAGTAGACAGTCACAATCGATGGTTCAGTAGTGTCCTTTGAATGATATCAAGTAGACGGTCACAATCGATGGTTCAGTAGTGTCCTTTGAATGATATCAAGAAGACAGTCACAATCGATGGTTCAGTATTGTCCTTTGAATGATATCAAGTAGACAGTCACAATCGATGGTTCAGTATTGTCCTTTGGTAATATCAAGAAGACAGTCACAATCCATGGTTCAGTATTGTCCTTTGAATGATATCAAGTAGACAGTCACAATCGATGGTTCAGTAGTGTCCTTTGGTGATATCAAGAAGACAGTCACAATCGATGGTTCAGTAGTGTCCTTTGGTGATATCAAGAAGACAGTCACAATCGATGGTTTAGTAGTGTCCTTTGGTGATATCAAGAAGACAGTCAAGCTAGACCAAGGAGAGTCGTATGAGATTTGCCAAAACCATCCCTCCAAATGTCTAGCAGGCCAAGTCATCTGATTTCATTTTATAAGATGAAATGGGGTGGGGTTAGGGGAACTTGATTAATCTCCAAACTATTTATTGCCTGCTTATCGCTTACCTAATTGTTTTATTATTGGTTGATTGCATATAACAGGAGTGGCAGTTAAAACTGAGAATGCAATATGTGTCCATGTGTGTCTTGAAATGTGAGAGAACACATTATCTATTCTTTATTCTAATCTAATATTCTAATTCTAATCTTTATGGTCCAATATTTGTTTATGTGCTGTGCTAGGTGTACGTTTGTACTTCATAGCATTACAGTTGACAGACTTGAGCCTTAACTGACCCCATTTATAGTTTGACAGGTGAAACCGTGTTGACAGATATTACAAAACAGGAAGGTTTTTACAATACCTCGAGATCAAAAAGGTCTCTCCCACTCACATGTCCAAAGAAAACAATGGCATGTGCAGAGCGTAGGTACTGCAACTATGCTCCAGCAAGAATTTACTTGGGGTTTGTTAAGTTCAATAGGGATATGGTTAAGGTTGCCATTGGGTTTTAGGTTAGAGTTAAGAGATAGTTAAGATAGTTTTTTGGTGATTTTTCCGCAGCATGTCTAGTCAACCGTTCCATGAATATATGTAGCATACTTTGGTTTTGGAAATGAAACTTATGTTCTTTACAAATCAGGCTATATTGATTATGTTAAGGCTTTTCACATATGAATGATTTGATAACAATAGTGATTGCAATAAAATCGAGACTATCATGTAGAAAAGGTATGGTGCTCATGAGCCTTCAGCACCAATTTTCTTTTGTTTATATTTGAACAGCCCTTCAGTAGACAGTAAAATAAAGTTTCAATGATAACTACATATTGATCCAAATAAGCAGCACAAATCAATGACTACTTCATGTTGATTATTTAAAAATTTTGAAAAATTAAAATGTACCTGGTTCTCGACTTGCGTGAGAGAATAATCAGTTTTCATTTTCATAAAGAATGTAAGTTGGCAATAACTGCGTTACCATTGCCACTGTTCAATTCAAAGGCAAAAAAGGGACACTATTCACATTGCTAGCCTTTACATGTACAGTAGGAAACCAATTTCAAACACCTCTCAAAAAATGATGTAATATTGCAGAAGTGTTGCCATGAAATTGAATAAATAATGGTTAGAACAGCTCTGAAAGCAATGATTTCCTCATTGTATTACCCTGGGAACTTCCTTTACACAACAAAAATGTGTTTGACATTGAGCGCGTTTATCTAGGCTTGCCACTAGATATGTACATATCGTACCCCACTATCGAACCCCACTATCGTACCCCACTATACGATCGTGATTTGCGGGATGTCGCGTTTATCGACCCTTCACGATTCAAAATAAAGGCCTTGTGTCTGCCCAGCTGTTTTGACCCGGGAAGCAGACAGTTTCTCGGAGGTCAACTTCACACGTATGCTTGTACACAACACCTGGGTGATCATATTTGTATGTGAGGTTCAAAACAGCTTTGCCTTTATCGATCTCTCAGAAACGTGATTCTGGCTGTATGTCACATTCAAAACGCGTCTTTAGATATGCCCATATCTAAAGACGTTTGAAAAAGGCTTTGCGTTTATCTACTTCTAAATTTGCCTGAAAGACGTTTGAGAAACCTGATTCTAGCCAAAAATTTGCTAGATAAACGCAACCATTGATGATTGAGCAAACATGGTTTTGTAATGGTCCAAGGGGGGTGTTTCACAAAGATCCGAAGTCAAACTTAACTCTAAGTTGGACTTCAATATTATGGAGAGCCATTTGTAGCCTTATGATTATTATATATTCAAAAGCAAAAATTGAAGTATTTTAGACTTTTCATAAATTCCACATCAAGAACATGAAATCTCCCATGATAATAGAAAATATGAATGATTTGAATCAACATTTTATGCCTTTTAAAATAACTTTTACAAATATTTTCATAGATGCTAACAACTTTTCCAAAATTTTCAAGTCCAACCTAGAGATACATGTATGTTCAACTTAGGATCTTTGTGAAACACCCCCCAGGTCCTGTTGTAACAATGCTCTGTGGACTGTGCAAACAGACAATAATGTTTGATTTTATGGAGTACCATGACCCATATAGTATAGAATTGTGTACGATGTCAATGGTGTATGCACGGCTGTACACACCATTGTCATGTTTCTAGACTCTGATGGAGACTCTAGATACTCGGTATAGTGGGACGTAAATTCAACCTTGATAGCAAACTACTCTAGAGGAAAGCAGAACCATCAGAGAAGAAGACTGGTGAAAATTTGAATCAAATTTGGAGGGAAAATTAGAAAGTTATTAAAGAACTTTTGAAATTTATAATCACTTTAGATATGGGCCGCTCTTGTCTACGTGATGTAGTGGCGGACAACCTTCCCATTTGTTCCAACACAACTCAATTGTATTTCAATGTGTATGACTCAGGAGGGTCTATTCTCTTTATAGGACCTACATATATTATACAAATATATATTGCCTTGAGAGGTTCTGGTTAAAACTATGTGCAAGAGGTGACTCCAATAGTACTATTTGCTGAGGGGCGCAGCCTCGAAGCAAATGGTACTTTAGGAGTCACCGAGGCCCATAGTTTAACCAGTACCTCGAATATAAGGCATGGTATATTTGTTTTATATCCTGCATCAAAAATGTATTTTAAAAAATAAATAAATAAATAAATAAAAAATTAGAACAAAAAAAAAATGTCAATTTTTATCCAAAAAGATTTAAAATATTTTATTTTCATTAAATTAAAATTTGAAGAAAAAAAATTGATTCAATTAAAAAAAAAAATTCACATTTTTTTTTCAACCCCCAAAAAGTAAACCAAAATAGTACTTTCTAAAAATAGGTCAAATATTTTTGGTCATGTGACGAGCTCCCAACCAATCAAAAGCCAACAAATTTTTGATGCAGGATATAATATTATCTACCTGTATAATAATAATAGGCATTTGTATAGCACCGTCTATCTAGATAATGCTATTCCAAGGCGCACAAGAAAAATAGAAAGAATGAGAAAGTTTGGACGAGAAAGTTCGGATGAGGGTCATAGTGCCAAGTGCAGGTATTGTTAAAAAAGATAAGATTTCAGCTTGGATTTAAAGGTCTCTAAGGAAGTTATAATTCTCAAATTAAATGGTCAATTATTCCAAAGACTAGGTGCTGCAGATGAAAAAGCCCTTTCAGCACAGGCTACTCATGTCTTTGGGATCTTAAGAAGATGCTGGTGTGATGATCTTAAACTACGAGCTGGTGTATAAGGCATAACAAGGTTTTGTAAATAGTTAATACGCTATCCGTAATACATTTTGACTAGTGTCCCAAAAGTGAAGGCACTTGGGAGAAAAACAGAAATCAAATGTATTTTTGTACGCATTAAACAGGATAGTTAAATCACAATCCACAGACCAAACTGCCAATTTGAGATTCACATAGAATTATAATGGTAATATCATTTTTCAGACATTCATAACTTTGTTATTTCTGGTCTGATTCATTTGTGAAACTCTTGCGTTTCTGTTTATCTTATTTTTCTGCTTGCATTCAAATGATGTTATTACAAGGGTTGGGTTGCCCTTTAAGCATACATGTACCTAGTCTTTGGGCTCAGACCCTATACTCTAAGCTGTGAGCCTACCCTGAACTCCAATCAGTATGTGGCTGCAAATATGAATACTTTCTCGCTCGGGTTACTTATAGCTACTTGCGCCCTTTATAGCAAACAATGCCTATACTAATCGGTGACCATTCGTCCCCCATGTTCCTCTTTTTCTTATGTCAATTGAGAGCTGATTTGATGAGATAACCACCTGTCAGTGACCATGCATGGAGGTCTAATCCATCCTGGCTAAACTAGTGCAGAGGGGCTTTGAATAATACGAGTTAATGTCCTTCTGCCTCTCAGCAGATGGTATTGTAATTAAATATAAGTTAGAAATTTCAGCATTGTTTTAGGTATAGTGACTGAAAAATCAAACTACATAATTCACAGTAAATGGTGATGATACGGTATAACCATATTCAAGGTAAACATACATTAATCATTTTTCTAACAGGATATTGGTTGTACTTACCATATAAAGGAATATTTGGTAGGCCTGGGGCAAAGTTGTTTGTAATTTAGGAAATGTAACTCTAATGCTGCTGGCTTCTTTTTTTGGGTAAAGAGTATATAAGGGTTAGAATTGCTATTGGGTTTTAGGTTAGCTTTAGGACATGGGTGAGTTATAGTGTTGGGTCCAGAGTTGAAGTTAGGAATTCAGTTAGTGCAGGAAATTACTGCAGAGCAATATTTGGTTGCCAATGGAGCAAGTGTCGTAAGATGATCATTCGTTGTTACATAAAAAACTACTTCATAGAATTTATTGAACTTCTCACCCATCAATCAATGATTTTAGCTATTCTATGACATAAAAACTACTAATCCAAATAATCCAGTGTTATGAAACTTCCAAGTTGTATGTTTCTTTTGAGGGATTCACTGATTCTGTGGAGTTTAGTGCACTTCCTAGAAATTATGAGGTTCAGTCCTTGCAGGGTTATGAAAGGATTATCAAATGCTGGACTTTGTATTGGTATATACATGTATATGCATACAGTACACATGATCAATTATCAACAGAGAAAGTTACTAAAAATCACGGACTTTGCCACTATTATAACCAATTTTATGACCAATTGAAATATCTTCCCATAGATTTGTGTCTGTAATTTTGTTTGTTTAATGACAAACATGGCAATTAACCAAACAAAGGTTTCAATAATCAATGCAAATTTTCTATGGATCATGTTATCCTTGTGTAATAATGGGAAAGAATGTGAGGTTTGATTCTCTGGTCGTTGATGTTGTGGTCCAGTGAATGAGTCCCTGGACTGTGAACCACAAGGTTCAGGGTTTGCATCCCTGTCGCACCATGGACCTACATGTACTACTCTTAGTAGGTCCATAGTCGCACCAATATCTTTTGGCAAGATGTTATTCTACATTTGGATAAAACTTGTAGAGACCCCCAGGATTGTTAAGCTTGACAGACATGAGCGCTATACAGTATATGAATCCACTATTATTGTTATTATTATTATTATTATATTTTTTATTAATGTTATTATTTTCAATTCTTTTAAATTATTATTGTGATAATCATTATTAATTATTATTATGATTGAATATAATAACACTAATAATTCTTGGACTATCTCATTGCATACTTTTTATATTAACGAACCAAAATTGAATGGAAATGAATAGAAATTGATATATCTAATCCTTTGTAAGCACAGTTTTATATTTTTAAGGTATAAAGCTTTATCTGAGCAAAGAGAGTCACTGTATCCTAAGTTTTACTCTTAATAAACTTGACCAACCATACTTTTCAAATGTAAACTACATGTAAAGGAAACCTTTTATTTTCTCTCCATCTCAGTGGATTATTCAAGCCTGGAATGAACGCCATTCTTGGACCTACAGGCAGCGGCAAAACATCGTAAGTTACAAGAATCTCAACTCTCTTTGCTCTGTTATTTAATTGTATGTTTGGCGCCAGAATGGCACTAACTCTATCATTTTACATCCAGTTAATGCCCTTCTGTCTCCAAAAGGAAGGAATGTACAGTTAACAACTGAACTATTCATACTCTTTGTTTTTTGTGTTTTTCTTAACTTAAGAATCAAAGGTGGACTGGTTGATTTAGGTCCTTAGTTGAATACCATTAGATGTAAGCTTTAATATGTCACGTTCTCAAGAAGCATAAATAGGGAACAAAACAAAACAAAACAACCCCCCCCCCAAAAAAAAAAAATAAAAAATAAATAAATAAATAAATAAATAAAAAATAAAATTTAAAAAAATTTGTAAAAAAATAAAATTTTCACATACTTAAAACATTACAAAACTTGTTAAAAGTTTGAATAATTTAGTTGTTAACTGCACATGTAGTATCAACTATCATTAATACCACTGTAAAACAGAGTACATGTAGCTCTCAGTTGGTAATACTGATCCAGTCATGTATTTTGGCCTCCATAATCTAATTAAAGCTGGGAATATAACATTCACAGCAAATTTGTTACAAAAGAGACTTGGTCAATTTTTTTTTCCTGTGAAGATTGTTGGATGTGTTAGCAGCTCGGAAAGACCCAGACGGACTGTCGGGTCAAGTCCTGATAGATGGCGCCCCACAACCAAAGAACTTCAAATGCGTCTCGGGATATGTTGTCCAGGTAATTAATGATAAATGATGAATTGTGTAGTGCATTTCACTTTACGATAGGTGTCCCTATGCATGTCCAGATCGAGAAAGAAAGGTTCAGAATATTATTACCCTAGTTTATTACCCTAGTTTATTTCAAGAAATAAATCCTGTCAGGTATTACCTGGCTTGAAAGTAACAAGTATGTGGATGAAATGCCTTGCTTGGACAATGCACTGACCAGAGATTTGATCCCTCAGCCTTATGATGAGAGTCAGTGAATGAACCACTATTCCACGATGCTTTCCTAAGACAATCTGAACCCCCCCCCCCCAAAAAAAAAAAAAAAAAAAAAAAAATAAAAAAAAATAAAAAAATAAATAAATAAAAAATAAATAAATAAATTTAAAAAAAAAAATTAAATATATATATATATATAAAATGAATAAATAAATAAATGAATGAACAAATAATAATAATAATACTGAATAAATAAAATGTCATTTGAATATTCAATACATCAAGGCAAAACATATGTGTCCATAGTGGGGTAGTAAAGTGAAGGTGAAAACAAAGGGCCAGTTAATATTCTTATTGCTTACAATTTATAACGATTAGTAGGCCTACCAAGCTAGCTACAATGTACAGTGTAGACAATTATTTGAGAAATAGTTTTCACTGACCATTGATCTAACCAGTTTGGAGCTCTTGAATATTCAGCTGTGAATGAATTAATGAAATGTTTCTAAAGTATACATCAAGTCATCATAATTTGTATAAACTATTTGATAGGATGATGTCGTCATGGGAACGCTCACCATCCGAGAGAATCTTCAGTTCTCCGCTGCTCTCCGTCTCCCCAAGACAGTCGGTAAGAAGGAGAGAGAGGATAGGGTGGATGATATCCTAGCTGAGCTAGGTCTTTCACACGTCGGTGATAGTAAGGTAGGAATCTAATATTTGTGTTATTTCTTTCATTACTGCTTTTTAGCAATTATAAACATATAAATCATGTGTGTACATCTATTGTATTGGGTTAACTGCATGATTTTTTATATCTTTTCTGTGGAACGTTGAGTAATAACAAATTAACATGAAGGATACCGGGTCATGAACAAATTAAAATAAATTCTCATTTTCTTTTTGAGCCAATAAATGTTTTAAAGCATAAGAACAATGTTAAAGGTACTATGTTCCATTTGCAGGCCAAAAAATGAAAAAGTTAAATTCCAACTGCATTTGAAAGATAATACTAATTTAGAACTTCCCTAAAAAAAGGTGGGGCTTGAAAATGTCTTAAAAGTGGGAAAATAACGACTATTAGTTGTCAAATCGACTTTAGGGCTATAGAGCCCAAAAGTAATAGTCTAGATTTTCAGACAATTGCACCGAATGGTCATATGTTTTATGCTGCGCAAAGATTCAATCAGTTTAATCTTGGCCATCACAAGAAGTGGGTTATTGATGTAGAAAAACGCTCATGTACCCTTTACAACTCTTTTCATGTATGTTATTACCAAAGAAGAAAAAAGCCAGTCAGTCACCCAATAGTGTCTGACAGTGAAGTCTAGTAAGTAAACGGGTTTCCTTGCATAATTTGAATATGAGGACACTGCTAGCGTTTAAATTCTACAGATAGGACATACATGACATATTCATAATTCCTGCAAAGTTCTACAGCATTTGAGGTTGGCTGCAAAAGGGACATAGTACCTTTAAAGGAATTTTTTTTTGGTTAGAGCATTTTTCTGGTAATATTTATTTAGAAATTAAAAGCACTTCATGCACATCCAAGTAAATGTTATTGTTTACACTTACGTATCAACTTGGGTTAATATTTATCGACACTTTCAAAATATTAACTTGATCATAGGGTCAATAAAATCATTGATGTTAATATTGTTGATTATTCTTACCTAGCATGTGTTTTTTATAAATTGCAACATTTTGAATGTCTCCTCTCTAAATTTTTTTTGGCTACATCTTAGGTTGGAACAGAGTTCATCCGAGGTGTGTCAGGAGGAGAGAGGAAGAGAACCAATGTTGGGATGGAGCTCATCACAAAACCCAGTGTTCTGTTCTTAGACGAACCTACGACAGGCCTGGATGCCAGTACTGCGAATGCTGTCATGCATCTGTTAGCCAGGTAAGTCTATAAAGCTGAATGACTTCATCACTTTTCATTCTTTAGTTATTTGGATGATGAACTGTCATGTAAAGAAAAGACATCTTAGATGTGGGTACATTCAAAATGCCCCTTTTTTAAATTAACCCAAAGTGTCTCAAAGTCTCAGTCAACCTGTTCACCGGCTGGATCTACCTGGTTCCTGTTTGCAATTGGTTAAGTCTTTCACATTCCTGTGAGAAGATTTCAAAATCTGAAACGGGACAACAGTTATTTAAATTTATTTCCCAACATTGCCTTGACAGTACGGTGACTTTGTTTATTGTTCTCCAGGTAGAATAATCAATTTAAACTATAACAGATCCTTTCAGAGAAATTACTGGATTTCCAATGACTTGGGTTGCCAGAATTCACCGTAAATGTCTTCAACCTAAAATATGATCTTTTTTATACAGTCTGTCAAAGAGAGGGCGCACCATCATCTTCTCGATCCATCAGCCTCGCTACTCCATCTTCCGTCTCTTTGACAAGATGCACCTGTTGGGACAAGGGCGGACGATCTACCATGGCCCCGCCCAAGAAGCGTTGGAGTACTTTTCATCTATTGGTAAGTTTAACTTCTTATTCGGTTCCTCTTCCCTCCCTCTTCTGCTCCCACCCTCCCTTCCTCCCTACCTCCCTCCCTCCCTCCCTTGATCCCCTTCTCCCTCCCTCCCTCCCTCCCTCAATCCCATTCTCCCTCCCTCCCTCCCTCCCTCGATCCCCTTCTCCCTCCCTCCCTCCCTCCTTCGATCCCCTTCTCCCTCCCTCCCTCCCTCCCTAGATCCCCTTCTCGCTCCCTCCCCCGATCCCCTTCTCCCTCCCTCATTTTACATATACAGTAGTTGAAAAGTCCATTCCAAATAATTAAGTTTCATACAAGCCAATACCAACAGGCCAAATAGACACTGTGAATGCAGTTCTACAGCTGACTTGTGTGAGCATTTCGGATATTGTTGAGAATACATTTTCCATGATGTGAATGTATTCTCAGCTTTTGAAATGATATTCCCACTGCTAATGTAAATGATTGCATCCCTCACTGCTCATATGTGTATTATTTCATTACTGCTTATTGGGTGAATGCATTCTCCATTGCTTATTTGGGGAATGCATTCTTTAGTGCCTATTTGATTGCAGTCTTGACTGTTTATTTGAATACATATAATCCAATAGTTAACTTGAATGCATTCTGAGTCTCCCCTACTATTGGATGTATTGCCACTTCTTAATTGAGTGAAAATATTTCTGATTGCTAATGAGGAGTGGCTCCCCAGAGTCCCCAATGAATGCATTCTCTATTCTTTTACTTTGAACGCAATCTTCCTTGTTTATGTTAATGCATTATTCCCAGAAACTAAAATCAATACACGCTCCATTCATTTCTAAATTGAATTATAATATGAATGCCAACTTCAATGTAACTTGATTGCTGACATGATTTTCTGTAACATGAATGCATTCCCTACTGTCAATTTAAATATGTTCCCTTGCTCATAAAGATACAAGATTTTGTACGGATGATTTACAATCAATACCTATACTAGTGTTTGGCTACAAGTATGACAGGACATACTTTTTTATTTAGCGTTTAACTCATCTTTATATTTTGTTCTTCAGGTTTTGAGTGTGAAGAACACAACAATCCACCTGACTTCTTCTTGGATGTCATCCTGGGACAGTCTGATCTGAAATCAACGGAGAAAGATCAAGGTGGGTGGAGCATGAGAGAGCATGAGTCACTTCTATGTAACAGACATACGGGCCTTGCTGTTATTTATTCTATCCTTTGATAAGAATAATAATGGAGAATATTTATTAAGCGCTATATAAATTGAAAATTTCTCTCTTTCTCTTTCTATATACAACATAAGACACACTTTTTTGCCTGCCAAAAAAAATTCAAATCGGGGGTGCGTCTTAAACACAGAGATTTAGGGTATCTACTTTGTTATTTATTATGTTGTATTTTTTTTTCTTTTTTTTTTTCCTTGGCTTAAAAATAGGGGTGCGTCTTATACGCAGAGATTTAGGGTATCTACTTTGTTATTTTATTATGTTGTATTTTTTTTTCTTTTTTTCCTTGGCTTAAGATAGGGGCGTGCGTCTTATACACAGGTGCGTCTTTTACACTGAGTTTTATGTTAAGCAAATAACAAAAAATGATTATGGGGAAAGTCAGTCAATTAACCTATAATTACACCTCAGTAAAACTATTTGACATGACATATCACAAACAGACAAACAGACCCCCATATGTCGAACCAACCTCCTAACCAGCAAAAGGACAAAGCAGCTCTAGGAAACCCTCGAAAAACAAATAAGTTTTCAGGGCTCTCCCAAAGCCATCAGTGCTCCCAATTACAACTCGAAGCTGGTCAGGCAGTTGGTTCCACAAGACAGGTGCTGCTGTTGAAAAAGCATGAGAACCATATTTTTGGGTTGATGTGGTAGGGACAGTCAGGAAATTCTTTGTTGAGGAGCGGAGATTAACACTTGGTATGTAAGGAGAAATAATATCAAAAAGATAAGTCCGGGATTTGTGAATCATTACCTTGTGACACAACATATTGATACTAATCTCTCTCTCTCTCTCTCTCTCTCTCTCTCTCTCTCCCTCCCTCCCTCCCTCTCTCTCTCTAAGTGCCATATCGTTTGACTTTGGCGATCATGCTGTTCCACAGCCCTCGGCTCCTAGCCTTCTGTATTAGTACTACTCCCAGTTCTTTCACTCCTCTCTCTTCCAACAATTTTTGCAGACTGTCCATCCAAAGTATCCTCCTTCTTCCCCTACTCCTTCTTCCCACAATTTTCTCTGTCAAAGCAAGATTCTCTAGGCCTTCTTTACGTGTAATGTGACCCATGAACTTTAAATGCCTAATCAACATCTCACGTATCATTTTCCTTTGCACTCCAGCTCGTGTAAGACCTTCCTCATTACTAACTTTGTCAGTCCAGGGGATTTTCATCATTCTTCTTAAAAACCAAATTTCGCAACTTTCCAAACGCTTTTAGTATCAGAGGCTTAAGTCCATGTTTCACTACCATACATAAGTACTGGGTAGATGTAACAATTCAATACTCTTATTCTGGTCCTCATACTCATTGTTTGATTTGTCAGAATTTTGCCTAACTTTGAAAATGCAGATTTAGCGAGAGCCATCCTTCTCTTGATCTCTGTCTCACATCTGGCATCCTCGGTAATCATGCTGCCGAGTTAGTTAAATGAGGAGACTTGTTTAATAATCTGTTCTTTCAGTTTCAAGTTACATTTTGGACTGCTCTTCTTGGATACCACCAGGCACTTTGTCTTGGTATAGTTGATCTCTAGTCCCATTCTCTCACTTTCTTTTACAACTACATTCAGAAGTCTCTGGAGATCTGATTCAGAAAATAAAACAGTGTCATCAGCATATCTAATATTTGTGATTGAATGGCCACCCACTTGTATCCCATTTTCATCTTCCAATTCTCTTAGAATGATTTCACTATACATATTGAACAAGTCTGGTGACATAACACAACCCTGTCTGACTCCCCGTCTGATGTTAATATATTCACTACACTCTCCTACCCTGATGCATGCAAACTGATTCTAATATAGACTTTGTAGCAGTCTTAGATCTTTCCTATATATATCAAGCTTTTTCAGCTCTTCAAAAAGTTCTGAATGTTTTACTTTATGAAAAGCCTTTGAATAATCAATAAAACACATGTACACATCCTTTTGCATTTCGACTGCTCTCTCCGTTATATTTCTAACCACAAATATTGCATTTGTTGTGCCCGCATCCTTTACAAAACCAAATTGTCCCCTTCCGACCATGGGAGTTATTCTACTTCTTGCTCTCAAAAGCAAAATCCTCAAAATAATCTTAGTGATATGGCAAATAAGGCTGATTGTCCTATATTGCTCACAATCCACGGCTCCCGGTTTCTTTGGGAGAGTAATGAAAATGGATCTGCCCAATTCATCTGGAAATGTTCCGTCATCATATATTTTGTTGATAATTTCTGTTAATCTATCAACACCATATTCCTCTAATGCTTCAAACATTTCAGTGACCACACCATCTGGTCCAGCTGCTTTGTTCTTCTTCATCTTTGACATTGCCCAACGGACTTCAGATTTAAGAGTTTTCTCCCCTTTGACTTCATCTGCAAAACTCGGCATTGCTTCTCTAGTATCTTCAAAAAGTTTGCCAATGTATTGCGTACACCTACTCTTTTTGTCCTTCGTTTCAAACAGGATTGACCCATCTTTTCCTTTGATGATACAGCCAGGGTTTGAACAACCAGACTTTTTACCTGAAATTTCATTTATTCTTTGGTAAACATTACTATTCTTATCAAATTGATTTTCAATTTCTGCACATTGTTTGTTTAGCCAGCTCTCTTTTGCCTCATTACACTTTTGCCTAATTTGTTTGTCTAGGTCCCTATATTTCTTGCATTGTCTATTTCCAAATTTTTGTCTATCTTTCATCGTTCAGGTCTCCCAGGACAATGACAAGGTCTTTCGATTTGCACTGAGATTTAGCTTTATCTAATGAATCGTAAAAGGTGTCAATAACTTCGTCAGCACTATCTGCCGTTGGTGCATAAACCACTATGATTGAGATTTTAAAAGGGTATCCCTGTAATTTCACTAGGAGCACCCTATCACTTACACACCAGTGTCCCAACACACTCTTTGATATATCTGGATCCAGCACTAACCCCACACCTCTTTCATGCTTTTCACCTCTTGCATAAATCAATCTGTACTCATCTATCACAAACTCGCCGTTATTCAGCCATCCTGTTTCATTTAGTCCCAATATGTTGACATTGAGCCTCATCATCTCTTGTTTAACATTTTACAGCTTGCCGCTCTGATACAGTGTTCTCACATTCCATGTTCCAACTCTGATGGTATTCCTATTGCGAACAGTAGCTGGCTGACGGTCTGGGCCTACCTGATACTAATAGTAATAATAATATTGAATACATTTACATCGCACATATCCAATCACGATGTTCCATTCTCTCCTCAGAAGATGTAGAGAGTGGTGTGGCAGCCATAGAGGATGGAGAGAAGAGCAAGGTGAACCTAGCAGATTGCTACGAGAAGTCTCACTACAACAAGACGATGAGAGACGCTACAGAGAGCATCTACACCCAGTACCGCAACGACGAAGAACCGAGCATCGTTTCCATCAACTACCCAACATCCTTCTTTTCACAGGTAGCTCATCAAACATTTACTTTACTTTTTTGTCAAAGCTTTGCTTTATTAAACTTGATGTTCATATATCAGAGAAAGGTTAGCCTCGATATGTTTACGCTGTTAAATTGTTCATTTTTAAAGTTATTTGATAGCATGGTTAAAACAAAACACTTTAATCAGTCATAAAGTAGTTATATTGAACAGAATTATAATCTATCGCTCTTTCTGCTAGCAATATGGAAAGTGTAGAGAGATGAAAAACTTGGATGACTGCGGATGCTTTGGGTACATACAAGTGTTGAAGGTCACTACATTATGGTGCCTTGTCACATATGTTAGGTACTGCTATTTGTCTCACAGTAAACACTTGCTTGAGCAGTTGCTAATTGTTTGGAGTTTGCCACAGTATTCTAATATTGTACATAATATCTCTTCTTTTTTTTCTAGTTGTACCATGTTTCCCATCGAGCAGTACTGAACATCCTCAGAAATCCATTCCTGACCGTAATCCAGGTAGGTTGAAGCTCTTGCTTGAAATCTCATTCAAATTTCTATCAGCATATACATTTGCTTGAGGTGATGTGGTGCAATTGGATCATCAACCGACTCTGATGACTTTGGTCGTGCATGTATGTTTGAGTCCCATGCTTAATTTAGCAGACAAAAATGCAGCAATGATTGTCACTGTATTGTGTGTAAGTGCACCCCTCTCCTCTGTTCCAGATGCAGGCTCGGATTCAGGGGAAAACACTCCATTCCTCGGACAGGGTGTCACCGGGAGGTCCTGTGTGGAGGAGAGTCACACCCTATGCATGTTAATATGCTACACTTCTCGCAAAGAGAAGGCTGTTAACCCTGTGTTTAGTGTACCTGCAATAAACAACTGATACTCTACATAGTATCATTTTCAGAATAGGCTGCATAGCTCTTTGAAGATTACAAGTAGAAGAAGAAGAAGAAGAAAAATAAAAGATATTTTATCATGCATTGATTATTATATAGTGTGCAATGTATATCTCATGGAGTATAATGTATATTGCATGTTACTCTTTTTCTCCATTTTGACTTTTTGAGACTTCTTGAATTCCTAACTCCCTCTTTCTTTATTCTTGTCATTCTCTCTCTCTTCCATACTTCCCCCTCACTTTCTTTCTCACTCTCCCCCCCCCCCTCCCTTCTCCCCTCCCCCTCTCTCTCTCTCTCTCTCTCTCTCTTTCTATTATTTTACCTGTTTATCAAACCAGCTTGTAAACAAATGAGTGAATAATATTTTACAAGATTTGTTAGGCTCTAAGTCCACTCAAAATCAAGTATTTTACTAATAAGCAATTATTCTTTCTTTGTGATACATACAGAACGCGACTGTCATATTATTCTCTGTTGTTATCGGCGGCATCTACTTTCAACTCGACACATCCATCTCGTCAGGATACCAGAACAGGTAAATCATTTCACTTGTTTATTTACTACATTGAAGCATGGGCTATCCCACCGCTGTCACCGCTCTAATGATGAATGAACATCAGGACCCTGTTTCACAGAACTTGTCATCAATAACAAGTTACAAGCTACTGTTATAAGCTACTGAAATCATGGCATCTGATTGGCTGAGAGCAAATTTGTCATAGAAATTCAGCAGTTGTTATAGATAACAAGTTTTATGAAACGGGCCCCAGGTCCCCATTTCACAAAACTTGTCATCAGCGACAAATGATAGTTTTTGTTATAAGCTACTGAAATCCTTGCTTCTGATTGGTTGCCAGCAGATTTGGCACTGGTTTTTGTCATTTGTCGTTGAAAAAAGGCTTTGTGAAACGGGTCCCAGAACTTAAGAACACATTGGTAACTAAATTCCTTTATTCCACGTAAGCTGAATGTGTAATATTAGTGATAGTAATACTAGTTTGATTTATATAACACATTCTCCAAACAAACTCATCCTATATCTTGAACAGACTTTTTTTTTAAATCACTATTGGAATAGCAAGGTCCCATGTAGTCCACAAAGCAATACATTTTCTGTACTCTTACAATGTTTAATTTCATTTCATGGTTGCTATTATAGAAACTGTCATATATTTTAACCTGAATATGTTTCATCTTTGTATCTATTTGTAAAGAGATGACCGAATAAATTGGAAACACATTTTTGTCTTTGTTATCTTAGAATTGGTGCCTTCTTCTTCCTCATCATGCAAATGGTATTTGGCAACTTGAGTGCTGTTGAGCTTTTCATCAGGGAAAGAGTTATATTTATGTAAGTCACTTGATTATATCTGTTCTTCAGCCCACGTAGGTTAAATCCTCCATGAAAATGTACACTGTTGCGCAGAAATTTGAATAACTTTCCTAAAATAATTGTGACAGTATGATTTATTCTTGATATATAAAGTTTATATCTTTTCATCTATAGAGTTTTTAGAAATTGATCAATTAAGCTTAGAAAAAATGTAAACTTTTTCTTTACAGAACAAATCATATTGTCACTACAATTTGTCACAACCATTTCATAAAAAGGGGTAAAGAAACATTATTCCAACGGAATGGGTAACACTTTAGATAAAACTTGAAGATGATAATATTTTATTGATTTATTAATTAATGACATTCAAAGTGTTATACATTGTTGTATTTTGCATTCTGCAATTAATCTTTTGGCCATGTACATTAAGAGGTTATTTTTTTTCTACAAGTATCCACCGGACTGTCCAAATGACTTGTGTTGACAAATGAAAGTCCAATTTTATTTTCAGAAAAAAACTTTGGAATTGCCCTGGAGTTTCTTATTTAAGTTTTCTCTTAATACTTACTATTCAATAGATTATGATACAACTATGTGTTTGATACTTATTTGCTATTCTTCAGACAGAAAGAAATGATTGTGAACCAACAAGTTGTTTTAATTCAACTGTAGTCGCTCATTATTTCAACTTTATTTACCTTAAGTTTCTGCTTATATCATTTGGTTTTAGTTTTCCAAGCCATTGCGTGTATGTCCTTAATGAAATCTGTTTGATTTATGGTTGTATTGCAGTCATGAATCGGCGAGTGGTTTCTACCGAGTCTCGGTGTACTTTGTTGCGAAGGTCTTTTGTGATCTACTTCCGCTAAGAGTGATACCAACAATCCTTTATGTCGTTGTCACGTATTGGATGATTGGTAAGTACTTGGTAAAATCAAGTGGGCCTGTCTTAAGAAATTAATCACATGGTACAGGGTAAAATTCCTGCCTTGTCACTAACCTCCTTTGACAGGTCATTAATCTTCATTTGCCACTCTACACCAAGACGAAAATAATGAATAGAAAAATAATTTGTGCTAGAAAATTCCTTATTTAGAATAATAATGAGTAATACGTATGCACTATTTGGGGGGTACAAAAAAGCTGCCCACAAAAATGATGTTTCTGTGTACTCACTGATCCTTGTGTTATAAGATGCAGAAATATGAAGCAATCTGTGAGTTTCTTATTAAATTCTACTGCAGAAATTTTGATAAGTTGCTAATTGCCTTATGTCATCATGTCTTAAGTGGGCCTTGAATAATATATATCACTATTTCTGGTGTTTTCATACAAGCATCGAACAAAAGAAAAATCAGCACTGAATATGAACTGAAATTTAGTATAGGATGCTGCAGAGTGCTACGTAAGCTAAGTAAAGAAAGAAAATATAGATGAAATGAAACTGTTTGAAATACCATTTATTGTTAATATCTAATAAAAGAAGAATAGATGACTGTCAACTTTTCTTCTCATTTGTCTTTCATTTCCCAGGTCTTCAAGCTGATGCAACAAAATTCTTCTTGTACTTCTTGACTCTCCTTCTCGTCACGTTTGTGTCTAGCGCCCTCGCCTTTGCCATCAGTTCCAGTGTGAGCATCGCAGGCATAGCTACTCTGCTCATCGCCATGTGCTATGTGCTCATGATGGTAAGATATGATGTTCCTTTTTCAGCTTTGGTGTTTATCTAATTATTCACCATGACTGCCAGAAACATCCCTACCTAGTAGGTTTACTACTGTTTGGTCTACAATCAGTTTGTCTACTACCTACTTGGTCTATTCCCATGTGGTCTACACCCAGCCCGTCTATACGCATGGTCTAATAATCATTTGTCTACTTATCACCTGGTCTAATGACTATTTAGGATGATAGTCATTTGGTCTAATTTCAATATGATCTAATTTCCAATAAGTCTACTACCAATTTGATCTATTGCCCATTTATTCTACTTTCCAGTTGGTCCAAATACCAGTTCTTCTAAAGCCCATTTTTTTCTACTATTCATATGGTCTTATAATCATTTAATCATAAATATCAATGATCATCAAATGACTATTAAACCTTATGGATGGTAGATGAAATAGGCATTAGACGAACTGAAAATTAGACTAACTGGTTATTAGACTAAATGAACAATAGACTAAATGGGTAGTAGACTAATTCGAGATTAGACAGTAATGCAATTAGACCAAATGACTGTTGGCCTAAATGGTCATTAGAACAAATGATAATAGACCATGTGGATAGTAGGCCATATGGCAATAGACTAATGAGGTAGTAGACGAACTGATTGTAGACCAAACAACAATTCACCACCTAGTACTCTGGCCCAAGACCATGCTAATATTCTTATGTGCCATGTAGTATTGGATATTGTTGCATTTTGCATTATTTGAAAGGCCTGTACAAAGAAAATATATATATATATTCTTCTTTCTAGTGCATGGCTACACATAATCTTCACCATACAACTGTATGATTGATTGGGGGGGGGGGGGGGGGGGAGTGGGTGGGCGGGGTGAAATGGTAGGAATATCATCTGCACTAGTACCATGTCAAATTGCATTTATTAAAGCAATGTGTTACATAAATGTGATATTAATAATATAGGATTTAGCAATAAACCATCAGCCCATAAACTTTTCCCTCTCATTTTGTTTTGCGATATTGCACAGGTATTTGGAGGACTGTTGGTGAACATCAGCTCATTGCCTGTCTGGCTTCAATGGCTTCAGTATCTCAGCATCTTCAGATTTGGTCTAAATGTAAGTAAATGTTTTCATGGCTGTATCTATTTGTCTTTCAGCTAAGAATAACCAATGAAATACCTTACAAATCACTGAATAAGTACAAATTGAATAGTCATGTAAAGATCCAAGTAGGTTTAAAAAATTTAGTTTTCATGGATGATCATTATTGGAAATCATTTTGTATTATCAGAATTTAAATTATGCTGTTATAAAATTCTGAATCAAAATTCTTGGGAAAATAATGGAATGTAATGTGGATGTGTTGTGGTTTTGTGGTTCATTTACTTGGCTATCAATCAAAAGGTTTAGGGTTTTAATACCAACCAAGCACTAACATCCTTTGGCAAGACATTAATCCATGTCTGCTAGTTTACACCTAGGTGTAAATTGACACCTGACATACTAGAGCGCTACATATTTGGCCGCTCAGCTTCGATCGGTGTAGTAATGTTGGAGCACTAGAGTGTCACGGTGTGACATACATAATCACTTTACAAGGAGCCTCTTAGAGGAGGAGGTTCACCTTACAAGCAACCACTCTTATGTGCTCTCTCATTTACTGTTACTTTAAGTGCCTTTTCATGATCTTCATAATTTTATATTTACGTGGAAGGAGTTTATACCAGGTTTATACCTACTGAAAAATGTTCTGTGTTGCTATATGCATCAATTGCAAAGTTTTTAATGGAAAAGCACTCAGAGACCTTCATGGAAAGCTCATTATAAGCACTGTTATAATATTATTATATGATATTATTATTCTTTTCTTAATTATTGCTTCACTTTGTCTTTTTCTTGATAATATCCTAGGCTCTGCTAATTAACGAGATGGTTGGTTTGGACTTCTGTGAGACTGTAGGAAATGTCACCCTACGATGGTAAGTTTGCACTTGTTTGAGTAGTAATACTAGTTGCATGCAATTAGTTCTATTCAGTTTTGAATAGTAATACTAGTTGTATGCAATTAGTTCTATTCAGTTTTTAATAGTAAAACTAGTTGTATGCAATTAGTTCTATTCAGTTTTTAATAGTAATACTAGTTGCATGCAATTAGTTCTATTCAGTTTTGAATAGTAAAACTAGTTGTATGCAATTAGTTCTGTTCAGTTTTTAATAGTAAAACTAGTTGTATGCAATTAGTTCTATTCAGTTTTTAATAGTAAAACTAGTTGTATGCAATTAGTTCTATTCAGTTTTTAATAGTAAAACTAGTTGTATGCAATTAGTTCTATTCAGTTTTTAAGAGTAAAACTAGTTGTATGCAATTAGTTCTATTCAGTTTTTAAGAGTAAAACTAGTTGTATGCAATTAGTTGCATTCAACTTTGAATAGTAATACTAGCTGTATACAATGAGTTGTATTGCTAGTTGTATGCAATTTTGAATAGTATTACTAGTTGTATAAAATAAAAGTAGTTGTATACAAGTTTGCATAGTAATACCAAACAAAAGGGATTGTTACATCTCGCTTAATATCACCGAAACTTTTTTCATGTAAAGTTCTGAGCAACACTTTGATATATAAATATACAAGCCTGGTTAAGCCCCTTGTATGTAAAATAGGTATTTTGTGATTTTACTCCTTCCTTCATATTGAGAGAAATGATGTAGAGGTTAATCTATTTATTTATTATATAAGTATAAAATCAGAACAAAACAAAACAATGCATTAAAAAAGAAAGGATTTACAATGTTTAATTTATATAAATACAGAGTAAAAAACAACAACAAGATGGAGAACAGTCGAGTGAGAACCAGCGTTAAAGATGGAAAATTTTAGTTGTGCCAGTTTAACTTGTTCTTTATAGAAGAAGTGATATCAGGAGATTCATAATCATGAGGTATCTCTTGACAATTGAAATTCTTAGTATTGACCCCTGCTAATGTCTTGTTCAGACTGTTTTTCTGAATTTACAATATTCAAATGATTACAAGAATGATTATATCACAAAAAAATATGCAATGAAACGACAAATATAATGGAAAAAAGCATGAGAAAAGAAGAACTAACTTGAAGCAGAGCTTGTTGAAGTGTTAGTTCCTCAGATGCTGTTATAGTATTAATGACTGCTTTGAGAGAAATAGTTGTTTTATTACGCTCAAGGGAAGGTTAGAATTGTGCTATTCCCCGAGGCTTGCCGAGGGGAATAGCCCAATTGTAACCTTCCCGAGAGCGTATGAAAACAACTATTTCTTGAATATTAAAGCAGTCATTAATACTTTTATATGCCGAAAAAAAATAGACTAAAAAATAAAAAATAAAAAATAATTTACATTTTTGTCGAAGACGGGATTCGAACTCTTGCGTACAACAAGAGGTGTATCGAAAACCAACGCTTAGACCACTCGGCTATCGCGCGCCGTTAACATGCTTGGCAGTTTTCTCCAATATATACATTAAAATGGATTGAAAACGGCTCCGCGTGAGGGATGCTTCGCAAAAGCTCCATGAAACGGACCCTTCTTTTACTTTTGCAATGCATATTGGCACGAACTTAGATCAAGATCTATCGGCAGATGTTGTTTTTTTGTTTTTGAGAGTTAATTTTCGTCTTCATGTCAACAATGCAAGATAAAATTGTCGGTAAGATCGATCGAGATTCAATTGTATTGAAATTGCCGACCAATTTTTCGCACACGTATGGTATCCTCCATCGCTCAAACCATTTTTTAACATGTAAACCTATGGGGTAACCATGGAGACTGACCTATTTTTTTAATAACCATGGTTATTAAAAATATTGAAATGTTTTAAGCATGGTTACCGGGAATTTTACAGGAACAGTTGAAGTTTATGAATGCAATTCGACCAATCAGATGGCTGGATTTCTTAAGTGAGGTATATAATTTACAATATAACATGAACAAAGTATGCTTAAAAATAAATAAATAGACAAATATGTAGCTAAGAAATTCTTTAAAAAATTTTGGGGGGAAATAAAAAAAGAAGAAGAAAAATTTCAAGTTGATGTATCTGTAACCATGTTTTCTACTTCAGTATCCCCGGTACCGACTACCTTGATCAGCAAGGAATCGACTACAGCGACTGGGGCCTTTGGCAGAATGAGATGGCCCTAGGAATCATGACCGTCGCCCTTCTAGCCATCGCTTACATTCAGCTCAGGAGGATACCTAAGCTCAAATAGATTTAGAGAAAGGTGGAAACATCCGTCGGTCCGGAGCCAGAAGGGTGTCATGTTGAAGATAACATTCAGTTCTGGTCCAGCGATTGCATTGTGAGAGAAACATTGTGGAATCAATCAGAAAAGGTTGATCATCTAGCATATAAGTATTGGTGTGTACTGCAAGGTTTTGGAGTCATCAAATTGATACGAAGTTTGGCCCAGTCTTGGTAAAAGTAACAAGCACTTTACACAGAAAGATGTATATGGGACTACACACACCGGTGGCATGAAATTTTGGTCCAACTTATTAACTATTTCTTTTGATATGAGGGAATTTGAAGAGCAGTCCTTTTTAAGAGGACATTTTTCTATGAAATTTAGTAAAATTATCAGGAAAAAAATGAAAAAGCTTGCAAATTATATTTTATCTGTACAAGAACTCAACCTTCTCTTTGAATGTGAGTTAAAGCTAAAGACCAGTTATGGTCATGCGATGCATTGTGAAAGAAACGTGAAATCGATCAGAAAAGGTTGATCATCTAGCATAGATGTACTGCAAGGTTCTGGAATCATAAAAATGATAAGAAATTTGGCCCAGTCTTCATAGAGTTACAAGCACTGTACACAGAAAGATGTTTATGGGACTACGCACACGTGCGCGACACGTGCGTTTTTATCTCTCACACACCAATAGATTAACTAATTTACCAAATATATCAATTAGTAGGCAGTTTCCCGGCAATTTTTTTATCATCATGTATTATTCAAAACATATTCTTTCACATGATTGGTAATAAGAGCTTCCATTTCATTTTTTGAAATTGGGGCGTTTCCAATACTGGTCTTTACCTTTAAAGTGAATGGTAACATTGTTGAAGGTTGATGAAAAAACTGCCTTTAATTTTTTGTATGAATGTTACTTGTTGTATTCCTTAATTGTACTAACCCTCTAACATGCAAACAATCCTGAAACAGTTCTCAAACCACGAAGATATTTATGGTTTTCTTTGAAGGCGTTAATGTGTAACTCCCTCTAACAGTAAATTCTCCCAACCAAGTTTTGAGTCACTACCTTGGCACCATTTTCTCTCATCTGAACAATGTTACCAAGTCCCTTTGAGGCTCTTCTGGCTCACAGCATACAGCTGCACAGTATGTTATTTAGACATGTGCGTTGTTCTGTAGATTGGCCAGCCACATCACAGATTTAAGGCTTGTTCAGATATGACAAGGCAGAAACTGTGGCAGTTTTTTTATGATGATGTACAGTGTAATACACTCCACATTTCTCTATCTATATTTCTATCTTGTAAAACAGAGCTCAATGTATATGCCAAAGTCTTTTGTTGCGCGCAGTTGCTATTCAATTTCAATGTAAAACACTGCGGAAGCTTTTTCGCAGTGGTTTACTGAACAAGCCTTTAAAGCGTGGACGGTAAATCTAAGACCTTTTGTGAGTACTCAGCATGGAAGAACATTTTTGATTATAAATAAATGTACATATTTGCTCATTTACCATAAGTTTATTCATTGAAGATAACCACATGCCACTATTTATGCAACAGATCTATTATCAAAAGCCTTTCAGGCTTCAATTATTATATTAACAAATGTTTTATCAACATATTACTTGTGTATATCTGATCATTCCAAATTCATGTCATCATCTAATTCCTATAACGGTGTACTGGGAGCAGTGTGTCCAATCGTATTAATGTATAACTATAATCTTTTTGACAATTAGTTCATCATACATTTTCAGTGTAGATCTATAAAAATTTCATAAAATCATATTTCAGTATTTCATCATTGCCTGATACATGGTAGTAGACATATTTATTAGCATATTTTTAAAGCTCATTGGCATGAAACAAAGTATCCAGAATCCAAAATGCAGAATGGTTGTAAATCATAATTTTATCAAATAGAAATAGTACGACATTGTTACAATAGGGGGCTGTGAAAACCTGTTCTATCTCTTTTAGATTTTTAGATTTTCATTCACATATATCGAAAAGAGAACTTTGAATTCATAAACATCACCAACTATTCACTTTTTTTGCGTTCTGGATCCGTCTTTTTATTGCCACTACTTATATGCAAAGTTGACCCCCTTCTATTACCTAGCAGAGGATTTCTTACCCTTATGAATATTTTGAGGGCAATAAAGTGTCCCACTTTTGTGTTCTTTCTGTCATTACATAGATGATATACATGTACCTGTATATGTAATGATGCATTGAGTCAGAGACCCTAAAACGTTGGACACCTGTTTGGAAAAAAACCTGATATTGCCAATGTTAGCTCTAGATTACGGTAGATGATTGATAATTACAATTGAAATTACCAAAGATTAAATGTTTGGGGAAGCAAGGCAGCTGAAAATAGAAATCATTTGAAGTGTTCCCCTTCGAAATTAAACATTGTAGATAATTATATCCAAACTGGTCATATGTACATGCATGTATTCTGAGTTATTTGTATTAAACATTTTAGACAACGTTTAGAAGACCAATCAGTATATTAAAGCCTCAAATGCAGTGTTAAATAATGCTGCATGTAGCACATTGCTTTATTTCGTAGAGAGGTGATGTAAATGTATTCATGTTTACTTTTCAGAAAGTTATTTTGTATATTTTAAACGTTTACAGTATTATTCCAGTTTTATGTGTTGAGAGCCATACAGACATTTACTCCAGTCTATTTTAAAAGTTGATGACTTTTTGACAAACGAGTGAGTTGTATTATAGGTGATATTTCGATACTAACTATAAGTGCACAAAAGTACATTTTCTCTATGGTCAATTGCCACTCAATACCCAGTAAGTAATAAGTATCAAAGTCCAAACATCATACTCGCTTGTCGTCCCGGTTACTGGTTCTAAACAACAGAGCCTACGCATGAGGTTCACTAGGAAATTATCCAAGCATTGGGCTGATTCAGTGTTTGGTGCTGGTCTGATCAACACACCTTTGTTTAACACAAACTTGTTTGGAACCAGCAACCTTCACAACTTGGCAAGTATGATGTCATACTTCAGTACTCTATTGTACAGTCAGACCTGTCTATAGCGACCGCCCAAGGAAAACACAAAAAGTGGCCTTTGTAGACAGGTTCCTTAAGTACATGTTTCAATGAGAAATCTTTTCAAGGGAAACAAAAAATGTGGTCCTTGTAGACAGGTGGTCACTATAAAAGCAGGTTTGACTGTACATATCTTTTATGATGTCCTAGCTCTAGCTTTGTTTGTAAAATTTCGAACCTCAACAAAGCTAAAAAGCATTACACTAGAAACCAGTTATTGTTTGAAAGAAATAGATGATTGTAGAGATCTGTGCCTGTCATGATGCTCAGACATTATGTGCTCGCAACAATTGCTATTAGCTTTATTTTTTTCAAAGATATTAAGTTAGGGTTATGGATGCAATTGGGTTTTAGGTTAGGTTTAGTATAGTGTTTGGTCCAGGGTTGAAGTTCGGGATTGGATTAGTCTAGGATATTGACCATGTAGGCAGAGCATGTCATACCAACCCCTGACGTAGGATGAAACATGATCAGTTCCATGTCAAATAATTAAACGCACTTTTATCTCTACGCACGAATTTGTAAATTAACATTCATATTTGAGACAAATAGTGCCTATAAAATGAGTGTACCATGTTCCAAAGATTATTATGAAACATACTTTGTGTAAAGTTGATTTTATGTATATTTATGATAATAAAAGTTTTAACAGTATCATTCTGCTGT